CTATTGTTTATAAATACTAAAATAATTTACTAAAAACCCCTAAATAGGTTTTTAAAACTAAATAAGTTTTTTATAGATATATTACTTATAGAGTGTAAATTTTATGATATCCTACTTTCAAAATAAAAGTTGCAGTATCTACTATTCTGTAACTCTGTAAGTTTTAGCATGACCAGTTCAAAATTCAAACCGATAACATTCCTACTAAGTTTTGTTATAATCTGCCAAATTGTTGTACAAAGTAAATGATACGGCAACCCTGTTACTATGTCGTTTCGTTTGAAGCGTTTCGCGGCCGAACGTAATGCTATCTATCGATGATAAATACTACCACTGTTTCAGATGGAGCCATCTCCCTACATTACACATTTGAAGGCGGCGGTTCAAGACATAATTCTTGTTTAACGAGATTTTTCATATGTTTAGGAAAAAATATTTAAAGTTTTATTGCAAATATTTTCCACTTTTACAGTTTTATATATGTTGTTATTAAAAAAATTTTTGGTTTCTTACCGGAAGCTTTATTATAAGCAGAAACATATTATTTTTTCCTATTGGGACAAAACTGTAAATTCAAAAATTTTCAAAAAATTTCCTAAGTATTTCTTATAATTATATCTTGATGCTGTAAAAAAATGAACAAAATTATATGTCTGGTTTTCCCGCTTTATACTTGGAAAAAAGTAGTTTTTTTGAGTTTTTTTTTAAACGAAAACATGAAGTTTGCTTAAAAGTTGTCAAAATACTTCTAGTCATCTCATACACCTTCTCAAATTTTTTCAAATTTTTTGAATTTGGAATTTATCTTTTGGGGGGTGCAGATCAACCTTAAACGGTGTCGAACTAAAGTTGTGGTTCCGTAATAGAACACCCTGTATTTAATTTAAAAAATGAATTTTCTATTTTTCCTGATTACAATAACTGATAAAGTATCTGATAAAAGTTATCAGATACTTCTGAATCCCCATTATTGCTGTTTTTCAACACAATTTAAAATTGTACCGGGTGGTCCAATAAGCCGATCTCTCGGCTATATATCAGAAAATATTTATGTTTTAACTTTAGGAAAAAAATTCCTTAGTAAAAGTGACCAAGAGAATTTTTTATAGCAGAAAAATCTTAATATTGATACCTATTTGGCCATTATTATTTCATATGATTAAAAATAGTTTTTTCGAAACTAAGTAGGCTACGACAATGAATTTGACGGGGAGTTCATATTGTTTATTTATTGACAGCAGTCAAATCATTGTTAAGAAGTGTTATATTATAATTCCAATTTAAGATTGCACTTTTTTAATAGATATTAATATTGATAATATAAGTAATGAATTATCAGTACTAATAATTCGTGATCAGTATATCAAATGCATAATTGTATGATATGATTAGAGTTTATTTCGAATGTCACCAAAATGCCGCTATTGCCTTACGTACATATTCTGTAAGATATCCTGACAGGAGACATTATGGCAAAGAAGTAGGTATTTCCGACTACTTATATGTGGATTATGTTGAATTAAAGCAAGAACATTGATTGAATTACCTTCGGTCATACCTCTGCTACGTCGTTTAAAACAAGGACGATGAAAACTACCAGTTTCTCTTAATCTTCTGGTCTTTCTTTCAAATACTTCTTTGCCATAATGTCTGCTATCAGGATATCTTACAAAATATGTACGTGAGGCAATATCGGCATTTTGGTTACATTCGAAATAAACTCCAATCATATCATACAATTTGATATACTCATCATGAATTATTAGTACTGATAATTAATTACTAATATTACCGATCTTAATATCTATTGAAAAAAGTGCAATCTTAAATTAGAATTATAATATAACACTTCTTAACAATGATTTGACTGCTGTCAATAAATAAACAATATGAACTCCCCGTCAAATTCATTGTCGTAGCCTACTTAGTTTCGAAAAAACTATTTTTAATCATATAAAATAACAATGGTCAAAATAGGTATCAACATTAAAATTCTTCTGCTATAAAAAAATTTGAAAGTACCTACTGACTTATTTCTTAATTTAATTTATAATACAGGGTGTGTCAATACTATACTTACTTATGTTTATGCGTTTTTATTCATATCTCGAGTTCTACAAAAGCTATTAACATGCGGTTTGCGCCATTTTGTTACGAATTTAATCCAGTTTCATTATAATTTACAATAAATAGGTGTTTTCTATTAAACATTTTGAAGACAAACAAATTTAATTTTTTTCTTATTCGCAAGTACCCTCTACCTAGGACAATTAAAACTAAATGAAATATTTTATAGTAGATGTAAATTAATTCATCCACACTCTTTCTAATGACACTAATTTTGTTAAAATCGGTTGATCCAAACCAAAGTTATAGGTATTTATCTACAAATACTTTCCCACTCTCCCCACCCTTTATTTGAAAAAATAAAAAAAAGTACTTGAACAACTTTGAGCAGAATTTAGATCTCTTTCTAGTTTACTTATTTAACACTTGGTATAATTGGACATATTTCCCAAAAAACTGGTTTTCAAAGTTTTCTTTACAGGTTACGCCCTCTTGCGGTTAATCCAGAAACTTGAAAGTTACTTCCAGCGATTTCTCTTGCCACTTTTCTAGGAATTTTTTTTCCTAAAGTTATAACATGCAGAATAGTTTCTGATATATAGCCGAGAGATCGGCTTATTGGATCACCCGGTACATTTCATCTAGATCCATTCCTTATTTTGTACTTTTAATTTATCTCTCATTCCTTTCGTATATTGTGTTTGTATGCATTCATCTTTGTGTGCATTTTTATTCATACATACATTTTATTTATACAAATAATTTTACCATTAAAGAAAAATTAATTTAAAAACAAGTTTTATTTTACAAACTTTTTATTTAATCATTCAACTTATATGAATTTGTGTACATTTAATATCACGACAATATTAAATACCGTAATTAGAATTGACTTGTTTATAAAATTGAAATCTCAAACACATATCGATATATGAAATTTTTAAAATTGACAAAACAATCTGGGCACTGGATCACTCCAATGCTAACCTCACACGCATACACAGATCAGAAGCCTTTCTTATATTCAACTTAACATACTCTAACCAAAAAAGTTCTTGGTAAAAGAAATATAAATAAAAATAAATCTTTCCCAAGTCAAAGAACTCCATGGCTTTGTATAGAAGTAAAGGAAAATGCAAACAAAAAAAAGGTTAGCTGAAAGATATGTTAACCAAACCACAAGAGGCATACCATAATTACAAGACAATTAGAAACGAAACACATGCACTTGTAAGAAAAATAAAAATGATCACTGGGAACGCTTTTCGAAAGAAATGGAACATGATTTTTACGGTCTGCAAAAGGAAATATGGCGCTTCATAAGAGGTCAAAGAACGGAGGTAAAGGAACTAATAGAACCAAAACACATAGAAAAGGATACGTGGATTGACTACCTAAAAAAGCTCTATGCAGAGGAAGAACAAACGACGCTAGAACCGGAAACACCAGAAATTACCACAAATGAAGAACTTAATATAAATGTACAGGAAGTTCGGAAAATACTTGAAAACCTGAAGAACAGAAAAGCAGCAGGTAAAGACGGGATACCAAACGAATTACTGAAATATTGTGGAGCAGCAATGACAGAACAATTAACAACATTAATTAATAAAATTATAAAACACAATAAAATACCGGAAGAATGGAGAACGAGCGAACTAATTCTACTATTCAAAAAAGGAGATAAAAAACAGCCAGAAAACTACAGAGGTATAACTTGTTAAATACTACGCTAAAACTTACAACTAAAATTTTACAAGTGCTAATAAATCAGAGGATAAGTTTAGCAGATGAACAACAGGGTTTTCGTAGTGGAAGATCGTGTACAGATGCAATATTCGTTATAAAGCAAATTACTGAGAAATCACTAGAGTATAATAGACCAGCATTTCTGTGTCTAATTGACCTAAAGAAAGCGTTTGGCAGAGTAAGACTAAATATTATAAAAACTATCGAAAACATCTACCAAAACAACAAAATGGTAGTCAGAATAGATGGACAACTTACAGAACCTATAGAAATAGGCAGCGGAATAAGACAAGGGGATTCATTGAGCCCCATGCTCTTCAATTTGATCATGGATGAAATCATCAAAAGCGTTAACAAAGGAAGAGGATACAGAATGGAAAACAAAGAAATAAAAATACTCTGTTACGCAGACGAGCAATATTGATAGCCCAAGATGAAGATAGTCTGCAAAGACTGGTCCACAGATTTAACATAAGAGCAAAAGAATTTAATATGACAATCTCATCTCAGAAAACTAAAACAATAGTAATCAGCAAAGAACCAACAGATGTAAAATAGAAATTGATGGCATCAGTATTGAACAAGTAATGGAAATAAAATACCTGGAATTACACACTAGTCTCGCTACGGAAACCTGGACTAACAGTAGGAGAATTAAGTACAACAAGCAAATATACTCGCAGGACTCGCATACAAGCCAGTGTAAGACCAATAATGACATTATGCCTCAGAAATAAGATCCGATACAGCCACAAGGCAACAGCTACTGGAAATGGCAGAGATGAGAGTACTGAGAAGAATTACAGGAAATACGCTGAGAGATCGAAAGAGAAATGAAGACATTAGAAGAAATGTAACGTACAGTGTATAAATGAATGACACAAAATAGAAAAAAAAATGGAATAACCACATAAGCAGAATGAAGGAGACCGTGTCGTCAAAATAGCAAGAGATAAGTCACCAATCGCAGAAGAAGTATCGGACGACCGCGCAAAAGATGGAGTGACAACCTTCCATAGAGGTATTAATCCGCCAATGGACAAACAGAATTGCTTATAAAGAGAAAGAAGAAAAAAAACCTAACATACTAAAAAACTGCTAGATAATTACTATTTTGTGATAAAATTAGTTATTAAATAACGGGAATTATATACACTTATTTCGGGTAATTCTTCGTCTTGAAGTTAAGCAAAAGTCAATTCCTCGTCAATATTGTCTTGTATCCAGCTAATAAACGAACTCACTTTTGGGTATAGTGCTATCGATTCATTTTGAGCACAGAGATGAGTTCCCCATGAAACAACTCCAATCAGCACGCTGTTCTGACTCAAAGGTCCGCCACCATCTCCAAAACAAGGACCGTTTCCTGGAGATAGTGTGCACACTTCGGTGTTGTTGTATTTATATGCATCTGGTTCATTTTCTTTCTCAAGTGTTTGCATGCACTCTGAAAAGTAAAAACAAATTGATTACAATTTTTCATAGGCATTAGTATAAAACCAATAATGGGCCTATAACTTTTAAAGAATTGAGGCTGATAGATGAGTAAATTGACTTAACGACACTTATTCTTTGTTCTGTACCGGAAGAAGTTAAGACTACAAATGACACTATTAATGCTTATTTATGAAACCGACAGATTATACGTAACTATTTTATTACTGATATAAAAATTATACATATATAACTAATTTTTTTTTAATGGCCTTGGCATAGCCAATTGACCAGACTGTTTTGTAATTTGTATTCACAGAACAACAATCAGAGTTCGAGTTAGTACTAAATGTAAGTTAAAAATAAATTAAATAATTGAGTTGTTTTGATTTTTCTTTTTTTGTTTGTTTGTGATTTTTTTTTATTTTTTTTTATATTTTTTTTTATTTGATTTTTTTTATTTCCTTGTATTACTTTTTTGATATTGTATATAATATGTATATATATTTTTTATTTTGTTTTGGTCTTTTTTTATATTAATTTGGTTTGGCCTATTTTTTTTTATTTATTTGTTTTTTTTTGTCTCTTTTTTTTCCATTTTTTTTTTCATTTTTTCGTATTAAAAGGTTTATTACATGATTGATATGTTCGCAAATTGCTTACAAATTTTATCTTAATTCTAGGGTTAGTACATTATATTGTTTAAAGTTTATATTTACAATTTCTTATTAACTGATAAATACAATTATAAATTTCTAAGTTTTCAGAGAAAATTAATTCATTTATGTGAAATGGGAAACACACATTAGTTTCGTAAGTTTTCATAAAAACATGTAATATTCCCTTGTTGGTTTCCACATTCTAATAGGATATGTGTTAAATCTCCATATTTACCACAAGTACAGTTTGGAGTGTCTGTTAGATCCATTTTGTACATTCTTGAAGGTGTTAGAGCATGATTTGACCTTAGCCTATTAATAGTTTTAATAAAACTTCTGTTGGACTCTGAATAAAAATATATAACTAAGTTACTGGATTTATTTATTCAGTTTAGTTTTTGAGATATTGCATTTATTTTTTTGAACAGTTTTATTCTTACACCTACCGTCATAATCTACTAATGGAACGCGGACTTTCTTTAAAAGATGTCCAGAGGTACGATCATCCACTTGTCCCCATCCCACAATTGTTAAATATCTCCAATCAATTGGATCAGAATCAGCTTCGGGCATGTTTGCTGGTTGAACAAATTCCCCAAATTCAAAAGGTGGATCCACTTTCACCACAACAAGATCGTATCCGTGTGCCCTTAAAAAACAAATTAATATATTTAGAAAAAAGAAGATCAATAAATAATTTTTAAAAAGGAGTAGTACTGTTTCATCGGTGACTTGTTTTTACCAACAGATGCAGCTTCATGTATCTAACTTTGTATGTCTGATCCTGTACTTTTAGAAACAAACAATTGTAGTAAATATATGAATGTTAGTAAAATTGGTGTCAATGATAGTAATATTCCTCCATTAGGAATTAACGATTATATTATAGAACGAGTAAATAATTATCAGTATCTAGGAACAAAGCTAATTCTAGTCATAATTGTAATCATAATCAAACCACAGATACTAACAAGCGCATCTAAATGGCAGGAGTTACATTTATCAAAATTAGATCATCTTATAATAACAGATATCTTAAAGACTTACATTAAAAGATTAAAAGCTTTTGAAGTGTGGTCGTATAGATGCTTGTTAAAGGTTTCTTGGACTAAACGTTATACAAATATGGAAGTATGAGCTTCGCGCTGAAATAGGAAAGCCTACAGAAATCACGCGAACTAAAATTTTCCATCAACAGAAAATATTAGAATACTTTTGTTATATAATCAGAGAAGAAAGATATACTCACCCTACTTAAGCTGATCTTGCAGGGTAAAATAGAGGACAAGAAATCGAGAGTAAGACGAATAATCTCATGCTTAAGGAACCTCTGTGATTGGTTGCAGCTCTATTAAGTCGGTAGGTAGTAGGACAATCTTTTGCCCTGGAGCTGAGAAATCAACTCCAAAGGCAAAAGAACGAATAAATTGGTCAACTGCAGAAGAACGCAGAAGTCTATCGCCCCTGATTGCGACCATAACCCGCTGATAACTAGAGTGCATGTGAAAATCAAAAAGATTGTAATACCTAAAAACAAACCAACGTTTGATTATACAAAATTAAGAAAAAGAGAAATACATCAAAAAGTGATCCAACAAGTCAACTCAAATCTAACAGAAGTGGGAGAAGAAATATTAACTAAAGATGTCAATGAAAAGTGGAGCAATATTCAATATTCAGATGGCATTACTAAAGGCTGCAGAAGATAATTTAAAACCTGAAAAGATAAATAAAAAACAGAAGTGGATGACTTCAGAAATTCTAGCATTAATGGAAGAGAGGAGAAAAGCCAAAGGAAAAATGAGCCAAAATATCAAGAACTACAAAGTAGAATTAAAGTAGAGATAAAAAAGGACCAGGAAAAGTGGTTAACAGATCAATGCATAAAATAGAAGAGTATGACAGAAAATACGACAGCTTTAATATGCATAAAAAATTAAAGAACTAACAAATACCAAAAAGCGAGCACACTATGGGATACTCAAAGATGATAATAGTAAACTCATTGCAGACATCAAAGATAAATTAAGGTTTTGGCAAGAATACATAATGAAACTATTCGATAATGATAAAATGATACAAGAAGAACCACAGAAACAAACAGGAAAGAAAATAATAATGTGCGAATTAGAACATGGAGTTAGAAACGCAAAGACCGCAAAATCAGTAGGCTCAGATTAGATACCTACGGTCCGTCCCAAACCCTTTTTTCAGTGCGTCATAGTTGTTCGAATTCTCTCTAACGCATTAAGCTAGAAGTGACAGAAAAAAACGTGAGTCGCTTATTATTATACATAGAAATTAGAAAATTAGGTATCGTTTACGGGTATTCGCATATTAAAGCGAATTCTACTTACGAACGTATAATTGGTTGGAGTTTAGAATATGCTAAATAGATATCCAATCAATTATGCATATAAATATAATTTGACACAGATGATCTTGATAATGACAGTGACAGTACTTTCACAACAACTGATAAAATGATAATTGCCATTCCAGGTTAGTATTTTCAGACATTTTAACTACAGTGAAAATTAAATTCTGTATTTATTGTCATAAAAATATTTTAAATATTCCGAGATATACCGAGAATGAAAAAAGACTAATATTAAAATTATTAAATTAGTTTCAATTAGAAAATGAGGCTGAGTTATCTTTATTTCAGTTTCTGTCGCTCGCGAATCAGATTGTGAATTCCGGAATGATATTGAGGAAATATCTTAAACTAATACCTTTATGGATATTTATATGTATTAAAACGGTTCTTTTTAGAACCACGACATTTTCTTGAAATGTAGGATATAATTGATACCAGCCACATATCTAGTGTAATCATTGATTTTCAAGAATCAGATTCTGAATGGGATTATAGATTGTTTGAAATATAATATTCATTTTTGTTATTCATAAAAAAGAAGGTAAACTTACATTCTGTATCTTGTTTTTTAACTAAACTCCATTAACACGATTTCATCTGGATATCGGAACTGGTAGATTAACTCAAGAATCAACTGCTTCACTATTTAAACTATTTATATTGTTTTTTTAACTAAACTTTATAACCTTCTTTCATTTGCACACCAAATCTGGTAGAATAACTCAAAAATCAACTGCTTCACTATTTAAACTATTTCCACTATTTAATGACAACTCTTCACAAAATTAAACTATTGGCTGCCACACAAACTTATCAGAAAATTCCTTATCCAAATATGACTGATTTAAATCGATATTATTTTATCGCAGGAATGTTTACTTTGATGCCTTGCAATTGTCAGTAATTTTTTTTACCTTGCAGTCAACTCTTAAAAGATTCTAGGAGGAAGCGTTATTTTAAATAAACAAACCTTCCAATTCCCTAGTGTTTGTAATAAATAATAATAAATCCATAAACAAATCTTAGCTAATTAAGCACTTTCCATGGAATGTATAAAATAGAACAGAATAGAATAGAATTATGACAAACTGCTATGCATTAAAAAAAATAACCTTTTCACGTTTAGCCGATTACGATCCTGCAACTGTCAGATTTAACTAAAATGTCATGCAATAATTCTCGACATTCTTAAAATCCTATATGACGTCAAAATTAGTGACGCACTGAAAAAAGGGTTTGGGACAAACTGTACTGAGCTAATTAAATGCATGCATTGACGAAGAATCACTGCATATACTTTTAGATCTGTTCAACAGAGTATATACAACAGGACCAATACCCGAAGATTGGTTGCTGTCTACGTTTGTAACACTAGCAAAGTCAGTACATGCGACATAATGCTCCCAGTACAGAATAATTTCCTTAATAAGCCACAAACTTAAGATATTTCTCAAAATAATACATGGAAGACCATACAAAAAATAGAAAAATGACGACTCGATATGAACCAGGATCTTTGTGTTTACTTTATATATTATCAAAAGGTTTTTGAAAAAGAATGTGGATATTCGAGATATATGGGTTATTGTCAATCTGTACTGGAATCAAAAATCAAAGGTTAAAATCGAAAATGTCGATACAGAAACACTGTACAATATGTACAGCGATGCTATTTTTAAGGAAGCAATATCAGAGGAACAACAGGGTATATCAATAAACGAAAAAATCTTGAACAACATAAGATTCGCAGACGACACCGCTGTTTTTGCAGACAGTCTAGAAGCTCTGCAACGCTTAGTAAATAGATTACATCAAGTCAGTATAAAATATGGACTACAAATGAACGTTAAGAAAATCAAGTGCATGATTATTTCTAAGCAACATACAGTAGGAAGGCTAGATATCGAGGGAAAATAAGTAGAAAGAGTGAATAACTACAAATATCTGGAACCTGGGTAAATGAAAACAATGACCAAGGTAGAGAAATAAGGACACGCATTGAAATTGCAAGACAAGCATTTATAAAAATAAAAACAATGTTAGTTAATCGAGACCTTCCTCTGGAGCTGAGAATAAGAGCCTTAAGATGCTACGTGTTCTCGACTTTGTTGTATGGAAGAAATGCTGGACACTAAACGTGGATAATATAAATAAGCTAGAAGAAGAAGATGCACATCAAACTAAGAAAGCTGGAATAATTAGGCCACATTACCAGAGTTACGAAATATGAAATATTAAGGCTCAAAAGGTAAGGGTTTACCTGCAAGGTAAAATAAAGGAAAAAAGATCCATAGGAAGACAAAATATTTACTGGCTAAGAAACCTAAGAGAGTAGTATAGTTGCAGCTCAGTAGATCTTTTTAGAGCAGCCGCAAATAAGGTATGGATAGCTGTGATGATAGTCAAACTCTGATAGCAGAAGGAACTATAAGATAGAGAAGATATACATATATATTATATATATAATATATATATATTATATGTATATATATATATATATATATATATATATTTGACCATCATCATTTTCAAAAATTCTGTACAGAATATTATCTTCTTGTACCTACTAGATAATTTCATTAGCTCCAATATAATTAAAAGTCGCCACATTTACTAACATTTTGCCAGGTCTTAATTATCTGAAGTATCTTTCTCATGCACTGACGCTGCACCATTGATTATCCTAATCTATTAGGTTAAATCTTAACATTATGTTGTCATTACTGTACCTAATGTACTGGGTATTTATATTATTGTAAGTTACCCCTGATCGATATCCCTGATTGCGTTCCTGTGCATTAGAGAAGTCCAGAAGTCTGTCTCGAAGTAATCCACAAACTGATTTTATAGACACAGAGATGACCTTAAAGAATTTAAGAAGTCCTCGACGCCCAGTCAGCTGTTCTCGTTACATAAGCCAGCAGAGGCATGTTTTGAGTATTACAGTGGCTTCCCACGGTCGGCGATTCTACAGATCATCGCGGACAGCCGATCAGCACGGACGAGAACGCACCGCAGACAGAGCTCTTCCTACGGTCCGTGACAGTCTGTGTAGGTCCGTGACAGTATTGTTTGATTATATCATAAAAAGGCCACTCAGGCTTGTAAACATTAAATTCGGCATTAAATTATTTCTCTTCTTTTTTAATTCTTTAATCGAAATAGTACTATTCTTCAATTTATTTTTTATTTGGTTCCATACATCGTATATATCGGTTCCGCTTCTTATGCTCTGGTGCCGTAGAATTCCATAAATTTGTTTCATTTTGATACAAATTTAAAAAATCAAAAATAACTTCGTTTGTCCATTCCATTTTTTAGCAAAAAACTGCAAAACAACTTTGACAACACTACAGACAACTACTCGTGTCAGCGAATGAAAAACTTCTGACTTGCACTTGTCGTCTGTTAAAACACAGACGCGCTAGGATCGCGTCGCACGAGCATGTACCGCACCTTTGATGTTACCGACTCTAGATGGATAGGACGGACCAGCACAGACGTGCCTGCGCTACCACGGACGAGACCCTTCCCACGGTGCGTGGTGCGTGCTGGTCCGCTTACGTCCGTAATATCGCCGACCGTGGGAAGCCTTTATAATAAATTGTATTGATTAATATAGATTCTTCGAACCATTACCATTGTATCAGTATTTATTATCTTTAAAAATTACAACCAAACAATAACAACACGCGCATTTCAGTAAGAATTTATATAATTTTGATCCTTTATCTGATTTTGGATGTATATATTATGTATATTTATAACGAGCATAAAGTATGCTGTCAGTTGAAAATAAATTTGGAATATAGTTGTATATAGTTATATAGTAGTATATTGTCTTGATCCAGAGAGGTGGTTATACCGCTGTGACGACATCTAAAAGGTCTAAATACGTATAAACGGTTGCCGCCGCTCTGTATTAAAACAAAAATCTATTATAGTACCGTCTTTATATTTTATTTCTTTACTCCGTTTGGAGTACCAGAAATTGAATTCACTACGAATTTTGACCATGATAAACCACATGTGAAATGCAATCAGATTTTCTTGTCGAGTTATTTATCAAGCTTTTTTTTAATATTGGATATACATGTTTAGTATTTATTTTTAATACTAGTATTTATTTCTAATACGAATACAAGTATTTATTTCAATTCTAATAAGAAGAGTGCATAACTTACGTATTTTTTTCATAATTAGGATGAATTCTGTAATTTACTATATTTCTGGCTTGTGCTTGTTCATCGTAAAGATCGATTATTCCAGCGTTGACCTTAAAATTAGAATGACGAATTCAGTATCATCAAAATTATAATAAATATACCAACTTAAACAGTGATCGTTTTTTATATCTAAAACTTTACTTGATTGTAAAACGTTTCAAGAAGATACACAAGGCCTCTTTTGTCATCTCGGCATTTCTTGATTTTACGTAAATAATGTTGCTTGTATATCATAATCCTCATAGATTCCATAATTACCATTCTATTATCCAATTTTTATATAACTAAATCCGCATTCTATTCAAACACGCCTCAATGTATCAAGGGATTTAGATGGATAATCGGGATATATTTTCAGCTTCTACTGAAGCATTTTTAACGTTTGAACTTTAAAATTCCACGAGGAAACTAAGTTCCTGTAGCTGGCTGTATACCATATATCACAAAAAAATTTTGTTAAAATCCTTTATAAAAGGTATATAAAAATGCCTCAAACGGGCTATCACAAACACATTGCAAAACGTTTTCGGATTAAACAATCCTCATCAGTGCAAACGGTTGTACATGCTATTACATGTACATACATGTTTTTACCCATATATTTTAGTGGCTACTAGCATATACAACCGTTTGCACTGATGATGGATTGTTTAATCCGAAAACGTTTTGCAATGTGTTTGTGACAGCCCGTTTGAGGCATTTTTATATACCTTTTATAAAGGATTTTAACAAAATTTTTTTGTTTGAACTTTGTTGTCCTGATAAAATTCGTAGACAAAGCGACATAGAATGTTTTTATTTGCCTTATCAATCCCCAATAATTAATTACATCCCCAGCTGCAATAACTCGTAAAACTGTTAAACGGGCCAGTCTGCTTAGTTCACATATCCTTATCACAATATTAAAAGTAATTTATTATGACACCTAGTTGGACGTGATTACTATAAAATCTATCAACATTAGTTTGTGTAGCAAATTATAAAGCTAACAACTTAAGAACCAATCCAAAATTATGAACAGTTCCCATTATTTTGAGTATAAACTTTAAATTATTTGGCCTTTTCAAATGATGTAATTGACTATTTTAAAATTCTCAGCCAACTTACCACGACCTCGAAAATATCTTCATATGTCACACAATGAGCAGCAGTGAGTATCCAACTTTTTGAAAGAATACTTGAACCACAGACAAGACTGACATTTCCAGCAAACTTAGTCGTTAGTGCTGCAGCATACGGAAACTCTCCTTTGACAGCATAGCTACCACCCACAATGTCCAAATTCGGTTGCTCTGCAGCTACAAATGGTAAAAATAGAACGGTCAGATTTATTATAATAATAATTTTCACTTCTTGTTAATTCAATAAATTCGAAATATATGTGCATAGGAGGAGTTGAAAACGATGAACTAAAAACTACACAAATTCATAAATTTGGGGCAACTTTGCCACAAATATATCTATTTATGGGCAAAGATTGAAGGAATGGATGCACTATAACAGAAACCAAAGAAAGGATCATAATGACCGCACTAAACTCACTACTCTGGTTAAAAATTATTTCTAAACAGAAAAAGATACAGCTATATAATAAAACAAGATTTTTTGGTTCTGTAAATGGATTTTTGGCGCATATCCAGAATGGTGTACGTAACAAATATGATATTACCATCCGAAGCTTGAGTTAGTGACTCGTGACACTTCATTACTAACCCTGATGTGACACGGGTTATCGTTAGTTTGCTGCTATCTGTGCAGATCATTATAGTTTTCGCTGCTATACCTCTTTGGGTTATCTCTTTTGCGGCTATGGAGATACCAGCCAGTTCTGTCTGAACTACGCTGGCATTTATTGCCCATACCCCATTTTATTCTTAGGTTCAGTGATCTGGTGTATATCCGGCATCTTGAGCCTTCAATAGTATATGCCGAGTTACGAACACTAATCTAGGAAATAAAACCAGCAACGATACATTGATCAAATTCTAGAAGTAATTGTTATGCCAACTCAGACAAATAAAAGTAAAATGGGCAACTACAAAAACACATGAAAGCCTAATACAGACATAAGAAATAAACTGTTTAAGATAATCATGAATGTGTGGCTTGTGTGAGTCCATTTCAAATAGGTAAAGAAATATTAAATAAGATTTACTCACAATCAATTTAATTTAACTATTCGGACGACCGGTTTCGCTTTTTACAATATGCAAAGCATCTTCAGGTCTCGAGATTATAAAAAAGATAATTTGGCTATTATAATATAATATCATGCTAATATAAATATATTTCTTACGTAAAGCTGCCGCAAAAGAAAGAAGTAAAGTGAACAGAATCATTTCAAACTTTACTAAACTACTACTAAACTAAAACTAACAATTGAATTTTATAGATTATATTATATTATCATTATCCGATACTAATTTTCTGTCTCTCTTTTATTTATCAATGGTACTTATTTTTTAACTTTTAGAAACTAATTTCCAATAAACAGATATATATCTTGTATGCACTTATTTCTCCAGAACAAAACAACTTGAAAATTTGTATTATATCCTTGTAACACAGATACTTATGGTTATCAATAAACTATCTAAAACTTGAAAAAATTAGTGGTTCTTTAGAAAAAGATAAGATAAAAATAATTTGCAGAATATTTTTATTTCATTCAAAATCTGTATTTGATGTTATAGATAGTTTTTAGTATTTATAAATATATAATCCGTTCACAAATTGTTGAGAGCACAAAATGTGCCTCAAAGTCATAAAACGGTCGTAAAATTTGTATCATCAAAGGCGTTCCTGAGGTATTTATTCATTTTTACATTTATTTTTATTTCAAAATGTTTATCAATATTAATAATGTTTTAATACTAATATATTTAGCAAAAAAGAATTAAAACTTTCACGGCTAATGTTGGTTATTATATTATATTAATTAAAATAAGAATTTAACCATTAACAATTTTGTAAATCAGAATACCTTACCTCTTTGGATATTTCAATACTAATCTTCGTGTTTAATCACTTTACTAGAAAACCTGGAATTCATATCCGAAGGTACTATTCGTTGCAAGATAATTAGGATGGAATTCCCCAGATTTTTAATAATATAATGGTTATAAACATGCCGGCTTTGGTTTTAACGAACGAAAACAAATTTTTTGTTTAGTACGTTTTTGATCGCATGTAATTAACGGCTAGTCTGTGTTTCCGCGTCTACGGCAGTAATTAGCGTCTCGAATATTTCTTTTGCGAATTGTATGCAGTGCGTGAGTGATTTTTTATTCCATATGATGGCTTCATCATCAACATCATCAAGTTTTACACCGGCACTGTTGCGTACAGTCAGTAAGTCTGTCTATTCACCAAGAGAGAAGACTATTGTCCTGAATGTTCACGATGCTCTGGTTTCTCAGAATCCCACAAACACTGCTCGCAACATAGTCGAAAGTTGTGCCAACATGACTGGCGTAGGGGTCAACTATATATAGATTCCTATCAGAAAGAAAAAACACGGTATAGCTAACCCAAACACAAACGAACACTTAAAGAGAGGGAAAAAGCCTATTGAAATTGATGAATTTGCCAAAATGGTATTCGAAGGAAAATTCATGGATTTTTTTTTCAAAAAAAATACCAAACCTAAACAAAATTTTACAAGAAGTTAGAGACGACCCTGGATTTGCCTCATATCGGACGAACTAAATTGTGGCAAGTTTTAAAAGAATTAAATTTCCGGTGCGAGAAATCAGACCGAAAATCACTTTTGATTGACCGGGAGGAGATAATATGTTGGAGAAGAAATTATCTAAGATCCATACGAAAATTCCGGGCTGAAGGAAGGCCAATCTTCTACCAGGATGAAACGTGGGTAAACTCAGGTCATACTCTAAAAAAAATTGGTCAGATAAAAATATATTAAGCTCCAGGTAAGCCTTTATGGAAGGTTGGTCTACTGGTATCTCCCCACCTTCTGGTAAAGGCAGTAGATTAATAATTTCTCACATTGGCAGTGAAAAAGGATTTGTTAAGCATGGTTTGTTGGAATTTCAGTCCAAAAGCACAAAAGACTATCACGAGGAGATGACAGCTGATGTTTTCGAAGAGTATTTTGAGCAGATGATTGAACACATACCACCAAATTCAATTATAGTATTAGATAATGCACCTTATCATTCACGACTAGTAGAAAGACTTCCAACGACTGCGTGGAAGAAACAGGATATTCTTGACTGGCTGCGGAATAAGTATCTGCCTTACGAAGATGGAATGGTAAAAGCAGAACTTTTAAAAATTGCCCGGCAACACAAATCTAAGTTCAAGAAATACGTAGTTGACAAAATGGCGGAAAGGCGAAACATCACAGTCCTTAGACTTCCACCCTACCACTGCGAAATAAATCCAATTGAACTCATTTGGGCACAAATGAAAAGTTATGTGGCTAGAAAAAATACGTCATATAAAATACAAGCTGTACGTGAATTGTTATACGAGTCTTTACAACATATTACAGAACAAAACTGGAAAGATGCAGTAAGACATGTAATAGAAGAAGAACAAAAAATGTGGGATCTTGATAACATAATTGATGCGACCGTAGAGACACAACCGCTAATTATTAACCCTCAAGACGACTCGGATTCCGAAGTTGATCCTATTTATTTTGAATTTGAATAGTTTTCTAATCGTAATTATATAAGGTAAGTAATAGTAGTTGTAATCGTAAGGTATTAAAGGGGAAAGGCGCAAAATGTCGCCTGTCAAAATGTTCAATGTGTTTTAAATGTATCCATTTTTTTTTCAAATCCTGAGAAAACTAAAAAGCATTTTTGAAAAATTTAAAGGCAGAATGAAATATTTATTAGAATAAATAAAAAGTTTCTTTTGCATGCAATATTTTCAATTAAAAATTATACTATATTTTCTCTTTTATTTTCACCCCTGTTACATAACATATTAAAATAAACATTGTAGAAGTTTTCAGGGACTTTCTGCCCTCAGTAATAATGTAATCTTTCATTCTGCGTTTAAATTTTTCAAAAATATTTATTAGTTTTCTCCGGATTCGAAAATAATGGATACATTTAAAACACATTGAAAATTTTGCCAGGCGACATTTGGCGCCTTTCCCTTAATTAAATAAATGTATCTTTTACAAATGGCAAGAAACTTTTTATTTTTGAATAAAATAAAGAAGTTTTATTAAAACAAAAATACAATTTACATAAGTACAATTTAAAAAATATATTTATTTAGTTCAAATAAATGTTTCAATCATATACTCTACGACACTGGTCGGTCATCTGTAACCAAAATACCTTCGTAATCGGATTATAAGGTTGACTGCTGTATTGTATTCCTTCAGATACAAGGTGGGTTAGTCGAAAACATCTTAAACCGTCAGTTTCAGGTTGGTTTTTACTATTATATCGTATTACCTATCCTCTCTGTATTTCAGTTCTCTAATTAGGGTTAAACTTGTGATCTATCTACAAATTGTGAACCGATTAATAGGAATCGTCCTACTCGAAATAGAATACAAAAGAATCAGAAAAAACTATTAACAAAAGACTAAAGATAATATAAAAGAGAAGTAATAGGAAACAAAAAATTAGATGGGATTCAGGCAGGAGAGAACAAGAATGATCACAATTTTGCATTAAAGTTAATACACAAAAATATTTAGGATTATACAATCGAATGGTCTTCTATTTTTGATTTTCGAGATTTATCGGTCAGCGACAATGAATCTATCTTCAGTCCTATATCTTTTAGGTCTATAAAACACAAAAACTTTGAATGCATTTCATCTTGCATGCTTTGTTAAACAATAATTACATCAGAAGTTTGAACTTGTCCTTATGATGAATATGTGACGAAATATATCCAGGTGACAAACATATTCACCAAGTGCAGTCAAACTGAATATAGTAAATCATCTTTATTATTATTTTTCATAGTTCAACTATATTTTTAATATTAAATATATTTATCATTATTTTTCTTTCTTCCAGAGAAAACCGGCTTACGTTCCATTCCAATTTTCAGTTGGACATGATTGCTATAACAAAAGATATTCAACGTAAGTAAATTCTTCATATATTATAACTACATATTTTTATTATACATTTTTTTTATCAAACAAACATCAACCAAAAGTAATTAAATAAATAAGTTTAACCTTGCTGTCTTGTTTGGGTCTATTTGACCAAAAAAAATTCCTTATTTTGCAAATTATTACGCGGCGTAACGTTTTGGTGTTTCGTGACTTTATTACTCATCCTAATATGAGGTCTTTCAATTGCATATGAGATAAAAAATTAACTTCCTGATTTTTTTGATAAAAATTAAATTGTTACTATACGTTCGGGTCAATATGACCCACGTATTTAGCCTGTTAAAAATTACCTGCGTACGTATGTTTAGTTGGCAGTATCTTATATGTTTTCTAACAGTTTGTAAGTCAGGTATGTCTATAATAGAAACAAGTTTCTGCAAGCTAGAACTTGTAAAATATGTACTGGTGTAGTGTGAAATGTGTAGCTGGACGATGTCATTTAGAAAGGCATGTCACGTAGAAGGAAGTGGGGGTGATAGACAAGTGGTAGGCTGGTAGGACACTGATATGCCAAGCGCATTCATTTACATTTCAAATTTCAGTCTATGTTTGCATGTTCATAATGTCGCATCGAAGAACGCTAACCGAAGATTCGCGAGCTCGCGAACGTACCAGAGAGTGATGAATGCATATCAGAAACAGAAAACAATACAAGTAGTGAGAGTGAGGAAGAAAGTAGTGATGATTGTGCTGTTCCATTCTAAGTACAACATTCTGTAGAACCTTCTGTAATAGTTCCTTCAAAAGACGGTAATATCCAGTGGTATCTCGATCCTCCTTATCAACGCGGTCGTTTTTCCACGGCCAATGTTATAAATAATGCTCCAGGAGTTACAAGTGTGCACGAATTTTCGATATCAAAAATTCATTTGACGCACTCTTTTCTGACATAGTTGCAAACCAAATTATAAATATGACCAACATGGAAGGACAGCGTGTTTTTGGAACCAACTGGAAAGACTTGGATAAAATTGGTTTTCAAGCATACATTGGTCTTTTATTGTTAGCTTGAGTTTTTAAGTCCCATGGCGAATCAACTAAAAGTTTGTGGAATGAAGAAACGGGTCGTAGTGTATTTCGAGCAACAATGTCCCTGGAAGTATTTACAAAAATTTCGCAAGTAATACGTTTTGATAACAAGACTACTAGACAGGATATGAGACGTACTGATAAACTTGCTGCAATACGTGAAATTTGGAACAAATGGGTAGAAAATCT